ATTGCAACATTCAACTACTATAATAATAATAGTAATAATAGTAATAATAATAATACTGATAATGATAACAACATGAAAACAATAATAATAATTATTATAATGATAGGGATGGCAATAATAGTAATGGTGATAATTATAATGCTACCGTTGATAAAAATTACTTCTGGCGTATATGGTAACTGCAATAGTGATAATGGTAATCGTGGTAAAGATTATATTATCTACAATGAAATAGTAATAATACTAATAATGGTAATAGTTGATGGTAATTTTAATAATAATAAAAATAATACTCATCAGAAGACAGTAACAGTAACTACTACTTTTACTACTACCGCTACTACTATAGCACTAGTTACTACTACTATCATTACAACTACTGCTACTACTACAACACTAATAGTGACTTACAATAACAATTATAGAATTAACTAGAAGTCACAAACACCAAAAAAATCAACGCCCATACATGTGTATACATAAACTTGAATTTAATCAAGTTCTCGTTTGCCCACATCTACTTGATCACTATTCGAAACCTGTTATCATTGCACAACTCGCGTTTTGACATATATATATATATATATATATATATATATATATATATATATATATATATATATATATATATATATGTTGGTTTAAACTATGTGAACTGCCAGGCAAATCTTTAAATTAGTCAATAGAATAGTCGTCAAAACTGCTTTATGCGTTTATCTGTATGACAGGGAGATCGAGCCTGTATAAAAGAAAGCACTAATTGTTACATTAGGATATAAGCCCCAGTCCTTAGCGAGCTAGATGGTGCAAGCTAGATGGTGCATTTCGATGTGTCAGGTTTTGAGTCTTTCGTTGTCCATCCTTGAAAGCTTTTATTCCATGTTGACACATATGTGGATTCATCACCCACAACACACTTTGCCATTGTTCTTTGCTCCATAACTGACACTTTTTCCAAGCATCCAGGTGATCCTGGGTACACTTCCAACAATCCCCCTTCGGTCTCCATTAGCTTTTGTTTCCACTGGGAGAAAACATAGAATTGACATCCCTTCATCGAGATATTCATTGTTTCTGCGCAATATAGCAAAGCAAAGACTGGCACGGTCGCACAATAAAATCAGACACGAGAAGCTATTCAAGTAGCAACAGGTTCTAATATGTCTGGACATGTTTGCTCTCATCCATCTTTCAAACCTACCAAAGCTCTTATTGTAGTGGTAAAGAACTTTAAATATTTTAATTGCCCCGTCTTGTAACTACTCCTTCCATGCAATAGGATATCACTGCATCATCATTTGAGTAAGCAAGAATTGTCAGCTACAGTTGATGTACACTAATAAGGGATATTGTCTTTTTACAAGAACCTCAGGCATAGAAAGAATTGAATCTTTTCGTTTTTATTGGACACATGCTCACGCATATGTATATGTGAAGAGTGATGGGAGGAAAGGCCCAATAAAAAAAATGCTATTAAATAATTTTCACTGAGGAAGAACCCAATACGACTATGTGGATCTAGATCACCACAGATATCTAATCAGTTGGTTCGTGGCCAAGTGCATTCAGTACAGTTCCTCAGTCACTGCTGAAAGTAATAATATTAACCTGAGCCAAGAGCAGCCCAGCCATATTTTTCATTAATCCATTATCCTTTTAGTTGGAGGAGGGGAGGGGGTGTACAGAGATGTATATATGATTTCACAAGGCGAGAGCTGGATTATCATGTAGTGATCGTGTGGCCAGGATCTTCGGAATAAAGTAGTTATAGAAATTTATTCCTGCATATTCTGAAGATTCTGGCTACATGGTGGCCGTACAGGAATGGTTTCCTATAATCTTATTCTGTTCTGGAAGGAATTATAAGAATAAATTCATGTATTATCCCATGATTCTGGCTACGTGTTCACCACGTGTTTCCCTAAGGGCCGCTCACAATCAAAGGGTACCATATGATAATGATAATGATAACTAATTATAACAGTACTGTAACAAGATGCAACAGAAATATAACAAGGATGTTATTAATAATCACTGTAATAAAGACAATAATGATGGTAATAAGAATGACAACAAATAAAACTGAGAACTTTTGCATGAATAACAGTAGAGGAACATCAGTGATGCTAACAGTAATGCCAACACTAATCCTCATAGTGGTCTTTAAACACAGGTGAGCATTTGCTTACTATTCCTCACCCCCCCCCCCCCCCCGCAGCCATGGAGGTAAGCGAGCCGAAGTACAGGGCGGCCGTCGGCATCCTCATCTTCCTCCCGTGGGCCTTGTGCCTGATCGTCCTCGGGGGCTACGGCTACCTCCTGCGGGACTGGCGTTGGCTCAGCGTCACGACCTCCCTGCCTTGCCTACTCTTCCTGCCGATGCTCTTGTGAGTCTGTGGGAGGTGTTTGTGTGGCGGTTGAGGGTCGGGTTCGTGTAAGGTGAGGAAGGGAAGGAGGTGGAGAGAGGATGTTGATTTTCATTGATCTCTTGTAAGTATGA